CGTCCGTGCATGGAGCTTTTTTAACCGCGCAACGAACTCGTGTCGATCAGGGGCAGGGTTAAAAAGTTAAACAGCACACTAGCACGCACCCAGGTGAGACGATTGTGAATGGATCGACGGCGATCGATCCATGATCCATCCATCTACCTGTACCAGCAACGTAATTAAGAGATGTAGTAGATTTATTTCACTGTTTGCCATAATGACGTACTTGCGGCGACACACATGCATGTACTGGTTGATGTCGTTGGCCATGTACTTAGGGCGTGTTTAGATGAAAATTTTTTGGGTTTTGGCTACTGTATTACTTTTGTTTGTATTTGGTAATTAGTGTCTAATTATAGACTAATTAGGTTCAAAAGTTTCGTCTCGCGATTTCTCACCAAACTGTGTAATTGGTTTTTTTTTGTCTACATTTAGTACTCCATGCATGTGCCGCAAGATTCGATGTGATGGGTACCGCGCAAAAAAATTTGGGATCTAAACAGGCCCTTATCCAGACGGCCGGACCAGCGTACACTCACCAGTAGAGAACAGACCTTTCATCCGAGGACAAAATAGACTCTAGTCCCGTCATTTTTTGCGTCCGGAACTAGAGAGGCCTTTAGTCCCGGTTGTTGTCTCCAACCGGGACTAAAAGTCCTCCAACCTTTAGTCCCGGTTGGTAACACCAACCTAGACTAAAGGACCCTTTATTAGTCCCGGTTGGTAACACCAACCCAGACTAAAGGACCCTTTAGTCCTGGTTGATAAAGGTCCCCCGATAGGTTAGTTCAAAAGGGAAGCATCCCATCCATTGTTAGATGTGTTGTGTAGGTAGGGTGGTAAGCTACGTGTGAGGCAATGTATGAGGTCTTGGGTTCGAATCTCACGGAACGCAGCGGTGGGAGGCATTAATTTTTTTAAAGCTGGGAGGACCTTTAGTCCGGTTGATGTTACTGTAGGAGGCATTATTTTTTAAGCGGTGGGAGGCATTACACAATGTGGTGCTACAGTAACACAATGCTAATGACGGATTAATTAGGCTTAATAAATTCGTCTCTGCGGTTTACTGACGGATTATATAGTTTGTTTTTTTTATTAGTATCCAAACAACACATACGACACTTCCATATATCATCCGACGTGACACACCAAAAACTTTACACACTGAAATTAAACCATGCCTAAACACTGCAATTGGATCACGGCTTTACGCGCCATTGGACTTGAAATTGCTTGCCGTCCCATCCAGATATTAAAGCCCGTGGCAAGTTGAAGAGAGGAAGAACTGGATGCGTCGGGTACGTACTCTAGCTCTCTGCTTATTACAGTAGGATCGGAACTGCCATGCCTACCATCGTCAATGAGCTGAGCTACTTTCCGTCTGTATTACCACTTCCACTGATGTCGTCTACAGTACGTAGTACGAATTACCGGACCGATCACCAGCTAGCAAGGGCGAGCAGGTAGAAAAGGTTGCGTTTTCCTCACCCAGGAAAGGTACGTGCCCAACGTACTCTACGTACGTGACACAGTCGCACTGTTCACATGCTCCAACAGTGTAATGTTATGGCAGCAGCCGGCCAGCGTCCAGTGTTCCGGTGAACGCCCTTTACCAGCTCATTATTGGGCGAGAAATCACGTGCAGCGTGCATGAAATTCGGTAAAAGAGCTCGCTAAGCTAGGGATGAAAAGGCCTTGCAAAAAAGAGAGGAGAGCAAAAACAAAAGGATCCGAGCAAGCTATTAAGGCTCTGTTTGGCATGGCTCTAACTCTGGGGGTTGAGCTGCTCCACTTTAGAACTCCAGGTGGAGCCAGCCTGGGTGGAGTTGGAACTGTCTAATGGATGTGTTTGGCTGGGAGGGTGTCCCCAGCTCAAAAAAAAAGGAGTTTGAGGGCAAATTGTCATTCTTGCCCTGTTTATATGGGTCCCACTGTCAGTGACTAATCTATTTTCTTTTTTTCCTCTCCTCTTTTCCTCCGTTTCGTCTCTGTCAGTGGCTCGGCGGCGTCCATGAGGTCCATGAGGAGGGCAGCCGAACTTCGCCGGGCGGCCCACGAACTCGCCGCGCTGTGTGGAAGAAGAGCGCCACCACCACCATGCTCACGGTGATCCAGCGGCCGCGATGAAGCGCGCCGAGCACGAGACGAGAAGCTCGGTCGCATTGCCGGCGTGGTCACGGTGGCGCGCCTGCGCAGATGAAAGCGTCCACGGCGCGCATCCCTTTCACCTCCACCGAGAACGCCATCCCGGAGGCGAGCAGCAACGCGCCAAGAGCGCCGCAGCGGTGTGTAAACTTGTGGCGGACCTTGTTGGCCTCCATGGCGCGCAGCCTCTGTGGTCGTCGGCACGGCGGAAGTGGAGCGCGCTGAAGAGGAGCGCCTCCTGCTTCTCGACGAGGTAGTCGGCGGCCTTGTTGAGGAACGTGCCTACGAGGGCCACGCCGGCGAAGACGAAGGCGCAGGCGAGCAGCTTGGCCACGGAGATCGAGAGCTCGGTCGTTCGCTCAGCCATGGCGGCCGTGGTGGTGATTGGAGCGCTGGAGAGAGGTAGAGGGCTCGGGGAGGGCAGAGGCGGCGGCGGCGTGCTACTGCGGAGCTCTGGCGTGCTTTTGTAAGGCGAGGCGAGGGGGAGGGCTCGGTCGCAGAGGAGCTCGGCGGCCACCCATGGCGGCGGGGGAGGAAGACGACGGCGCGGGAGGGAGGGAGTCACTGCGCGGGAGGCTCGGGAGAAATAGAATCAAACCGTTTTTTCTGTGTAATCAGTGACAGTGGTGGGTAATTTCCCACCAACTCCACGATGAGGTTCATATTGAGTGGTTTTGGAGCTGCAAAAGAGGTGCTCCAAAACTCCATCTCCATTTGTACTACAGCTCCATAATGTCGGCAACTCCATAGAGTTTCGGAGTTGGGGTGTTTGGCTGGATTCTTTTATAAAGTTGCTAGAGTTTAGGAGTGGAGCCATGTCAAACAGGCCCTAAGTCATGATCGCATAAGAGTACGTACGTACTGGCTGTTGCTTTTGATCCAGCCATCAAACATGTGGATCCCAGTCCAAAGCGCCATCGATCGAGCACGTACATACTCACTGCAGCTGGCAGCCTGGCACTGAGGAGCACCTATAAAAAAAAAGAAGGGACAAAGTTAATAGTTTTATTTATATTATTACTATGTACCATGCAAACGAATTATATATAACTTTTGTGGTCTTCGAGGTAACTTTGAGTAGTATTTATTTATATTAGTATTAAGATATGGCTATAACGTTTATATAAATATATATAAACTAGGAGTGTATGCTCAAAGGCTAAATAGCTCGAAACCCATCACTGGACAAAGTCTAAAAAGTTTGTCTGAATTATATTTTAGTTGAAACTGAACATGGCAGTACTCCAATGCAATTCTATCACAATGCCAAGCTAAGGTATTTTGAATTTAACTAATTATAAATAAAAATATATCAACATTTATAATATCAAATAAGTATCATTAAATTTATCATAAGATGTATATTTATAATATTATTTATTTGGTGTCATAAACATTAATAATTTTAGCTATATATTTGATCAAACTTTAGATACGTTAACTAAGAATACACCTAGGATTGCATTGTTTTGTGGACAGAAGTAATAGTATATATAGTATCTAGTACTCCATCCTAAAAAGTAAAAATACAACACATGTCGTTTTTAGGGGGGAAATCATTTTTAAGTTTTACTAGTAAATTTATAAAAAAAATTGTATCTGTATATTTAGTTAAATTTTTTACTAGTAAATTCTATCACAAAATACAAGTTTATTATAAAGATACTTTTTACTATAAATCCAATAATACTTATGGGGCATCGTAAATATAGTATTTGTTATATTTAGTTAAATTTTTAAAAATTTGACTCATCACCACGGAGCTATAAAATAAAAAGAGATAAAAACTTGGCATGCAGCATCCACCATCCATCGGCCCCTGCACTGGCATGCAGCATGAGCAGCAGGACAGTACGCAACTACACAAGGCGCGGGCAGGCGCAAGCACGTCGCCGTCCCCAGACCACCTGTGGTCTCCGCGTCCCTCCGCGTCTCATGTTCTAAAGAAGCCAACCTCCCATAAAGAAACCCTCGAGCCAATCCAGAGGTCGCAGAGGAGAGCGCGGAGAGCGATGGGTAGATGCGTCGGCGTCGCACTGAATTTATCTCCCCACCACTTGATGCCCGCCCATTAATCACGACCGAGCTAGCTTGCAGCTATTCAATATAGCATATATGAATTTTTCTAAAAGCTAACACATTTATTTATTTCTCTCTGCGAGTACTAAATCTATAGGTAGTGCCAATTTTGCCAACAAATATGTGAGGCCTTGTGTAGTTCTAATAGAGATTTATTTCACAAAATATTGGGATATTAATAATTTTTAGAATACATATTTAATCCACCATTAGCATATGTGTTACTATAGCACTTTATAAATCATCTAAAATATTTAAAAGATTCGTTTCACAAAATAGTCGATATGCTGTAAATTTTTTGTGGAACTAAGCAAATCCTGAGTTGCGGTGAGAAGAGACGAGACGAGGCGGCCTCATATGCTAGCTAGGACTAGGAGAGGAGACTATTCTAGCTGTATCTATATAGCTAGCACGAGAGCAGGCCAGCCAGGGCACAACCAGCAGCTGCAACTGCCACTGCAGCTGCATGCATCTGTACTTGGTGGCGAGAGGGAAGGAGCTTTAAGCCTAGTCGTCTCCTCCGTCCCCTCGGCTGGCGCTTACTTGCATGGTCCCCCGGCCGGCCCTCCTCTTGCTCTCCTCCCTCTCCGACCTCACCGCAGTCACGGCGCCCATCCGTGACCCTTAAAACCGCACCAACTCGTAGCCAAATTCTTGAGCTCACACCCACATACACGAAAACATATACCAAGCTTGCTTGTCGCCTCACAACCTACGACGAAATTAAACGAGCTCTAGCCAGGTAGAATTCTTCTTGGGGGCGCGCAGCAGCAGCTAGCTCGCAGCGGGCCATGGCGAAGCCGCAGGAGGTGCGCAGCGTCGACTCCTTCTCGCAGCTGCCGTTCATCCGGCCGGCGCCGGCTCCGGCGCAGCCGAGGGACGCCACCATCCGGCTGTTCGGCTGCGACTTCTCCAACGACCAGCAGCAGCGGCAGGCCAAGCAGCAGGACGCCGCGGCCGACTCCCCCGACGCCGCCAACGGCAGCACGGTCACGTCCGAGAGCAACGGCGGCGCCAAGAGCGGCGGCGGCGCGGCTGCGGCGGCCGCGGCCGCGGCCGCGGCCGCCGAGAGGAAGTTCGAGTGCCACTACTGCTGCCGCAACTTCCCGACGTCGCAGGCGCTGGGCGGGCACCAGAACGCGCACAAGCGCGAGCGGCAGCACGCCAAGCGGGCCCACCTCCAGGCCTCCCTCGCCATGCACCGATACGTGCCCGGCCACATGTACGGCCACTTCAACTACCACCACCACCACCTCGGCAGCGGCGGCCGCTTCGACCAACCCGCGCCGCCACCGCTGCCGCTGCCGCTGCCGCCCCCCCCCGCCGCCGGCGCACTACCCGATGTGGACGAGCGCCAGCCCCGCGGGGCCCTACGGCGGAGGCGGAGGCCCAGGCTCCATGTCGCAGCCAATCAACTGTAGCCCGGTGCCGGCGGAGCTCTGGAGGGTGCCGCCCCCTGCTGCGACGACAACCACTACTGCGGCCATGGAGAATTTCGGCATGTATGGCCGGCACGGCGCCGCTGGTGGCACGGCTATCCTGGTCGGGCCGGCTGGTGGGGAGGCAGCAGCATGCAAGGACGAGAAGGCGGCGATGAGCTTGTTGTCCCCCTCCCCCTCGCTCTCGTCTTGCTCGTCCACGTCGCCGGAGAAGAAGCTAGGTAGGTGTGAATTGGGCCACCAGAAGGAGAGTGTTAGCTTGGACCTCCATTTGTAATTCTTTCTTGTTTATTTATTTTTATTTAGGTCTCCGATCTCCCCTTGCTTGTGGATTAGCAGTTGCCAGCGCATGTCAATTCTCATAGTTTTCTAAATAATCGTTTCTACGTACCTTTTTGCCGTACGTCTGAAATTCAAGTTTTAACTAGAGCAGCTTCCAATTCTTGTGGCCCTTTCTGCTATATACAAGTGATCGATGACGAAATTTAGAAAAAAAAAACTTCTTCCTCGGTCATGATCGACAGGGAAAAAAGGATTAGGAAAGATAGACTTGTTTCTTGCTTGTGTGTTACAGTGTTAGAAACAAGCAGCTAAGGTAGCAGCTCGATTCATTTAGTGGCATGAGGTACGACGACCCATGAAAAACTTGCATGTTCATTTATTTACGTGGGGGAGGAAGAAGAATTGGGGTAGAAACTGCAGGAGGGAAATTAAAGAACTGCATCGATCCAGTGTAGATTGGAAATGTGTGGATCTAATGGCCTAAACAAGGCATGGATCCAAGGCTGGTCGTACGTAGATGATGGTCCCTTAGGGCCAGGGGGGGGGGGGCGCGGGCGATGCACATAATGTACATGACCTTTCTTTTTCGCGCCCTGGCCCAACTATACGTCCGTCTGAATTGCTTTGTACAGAGATGGCTCTTTTTAGCATGTGCTCCCACGAGCCAGGTGTTCCATGTACTTTCAGCTTCCTCGTATAGATGCGTAATATAATTTACTAATGGCAGCTTGGCACGTGAAGGAAAAAGCCATGTCGATAGTAACAGCTCGCTAGCAAACACAGGGATTTTTAAAAATGGGGAAGGAACATGTTCTTTCTGCCATGTACGGATAGAAAGGTTCGATTTATTAGTATATATAAAATATAAAAGGAACATGGGAGGTACTATTATTTTGGTTTGGTTCTCTGCTCTGACTCGAGGCGTATAAACAAAGAAAAAGAACCAAGTTTCAAAAAAAAACAAAGAAAAAGAACCTAGAACATGCGATGTATAGAGTCGTATACGCAATGACCAATTCAATAAAAAAAAACATAAGCGGATAGAAAAGAGCAATTCACTTTATATTTATGGGTTCAACACTCCCCGTAAGCGGGATAGAAGCAGGCAACAATTATATTTTATTTAATTGTGTTAATTAGGATTCAAATTACAGACCTTCAATTCTCATAGCATATAGACTTTATGTCGACCCGTTTGGTCTAGAGTCTCAGCACCTAGGGTTTCCTAGGCGTTTCGAGGGAGAATTCGGCAACTACTCGTTCTCGTCTTTCTTTCCCGCTTCCTTCCGTGGACCTCGATACGATTTCATCATGTGATCGATCCCAGGTCTTCCACGTCCTATTCTAGTTGTGTCCACGTCTTCTCCGGCGATCGGAGCCTGTAACCCAATTTGCTAGCCCTTGGTAGTTGTCATCACAGTCGTGTTTGTCCCTTCTGGTTCTGGGAGTTTGTAGCGGGAACAATGGAAGGAGTGGAGGGTCTGATGGGAAAACTCAAGCTGTCGGAGGCGGAGAGGGGTGGTGTGAAGATCGGTGGTGGTGCGGGCGGTAGAAAGTCTCGGATCCAGGAACCGCATGCGATGGGGAAAGTCTTGACGGATTGGTTGATTGTGCCAGAAACCCTAGAGCGGTTCCTGGGAAAGGTGTGGTGTCCGATCAAAGGGGTAACATGCAAGGATCTGGGGGAGAATCATTTCCTCTTCACCTTCCTGCAATCTTTGGGGAAGAGGAGGGCTTTGGAAGATGGGACATGGATGATTTCCAAAGACTTGGTGGTTATGGCGGATTTTGATGAAACTAAAACTTTGGAGGAGATGGATTTAAACCATGTGCCAATTTGGGTCCGGGTGTCGAACCTTCCTCTCGGTATGCTGGATGAGGAGACGGGAGCGATTCTGGGGGGACAAGATTAGAATGTTCAGGGAGGTGGATGTCGGGGATGATGGTTTGGCGGTGGGCAAGGTTTTGAGGATCAAGGTAGTGATTGATATTCGTAAGCCACTCATGCGAGGTATTATGGTGAAGGTAGGCAGTGAGGAGAAGGACAAATGGTTCCCCTTTGCTTACGAGTTTTGTCGGATTTCTGCTACACTTGTGGCTGCATTGGCCATGTGGATAAGCAGTGTGAAATCAGATTGGAGCAAGGTAAAAAGCAGCAATTCTGTAAGAGTCTGCGGTACATACCAGAGAGGATCCTGGGTACTAGGACAAGGGGCCCCTGGCAGAGTGGGAACTCCGGCCAAAAATCCTATGAAGGCCGTGGTGGTCGCTGGGCACCGTCAGGTTCGGGTAGCGATGCTTTAACTTGGAGAAAGAAGGGAGAAGAGGCTGTTGAGAAGGGGGAGAAGATAAGCAGTCCCTGAAACTTCCTGGCAATGAGCGGAACCAGGAGAGTTGGGCAAATAAAGCTCTATTGCCAAAACTTTCAGACTCTGTGGATGACGACAAATTTTTGGACGACGAGAAAGAGGATGGAGAGGAGTGGTGGAGAGAAGCATGGTACTAAAGATGGCAAAAAGGGCTCTTATAGGCGCCAAAAATGTGTGAGTTCAGAGATGGTGGGAGCGTTGTTCTATTGGGGAAAAGAGGTTTGGAGGATGAGGAGATGCTGGACAATAATGGTGTAAAGAAGACAAAGTTGATGGGTGAGTTGGGTTTCAACCAGGCTGGTGAATTCTCTTTGATAGCGGGGCCGGCGGACCGGTCCTACGGGACACAATGAAGCTTCTCGCCTAGAACTACCGCGGTCTGGGCAATCGCCCGACAGTTAGGAGTCTTCTGGAGCTCCAGAAGACTGAGGGTGCGGACATTCTTTTCTTGTCGGAAACAAAGCTAGATAAGAGGAGAATGGAGAGGTTTCGGTGGTTGCTAGGGTCAAGTAATATGGTGGTCAGAAATTGCTGTGTTTTGGCAACGGGGGATCAACGTGGTTATCAGGAATTTCTCTAATAACCATATTGATGTTGATGTGAAGGAGGAGGATGGATTCCAATGGAGGTTCACCTGTGTCTATGGCTTCCCACAAACAGAAGACAGGCATAAAACCTGGACTCTATTGAGAGACTTGCATGCACAGGAGGTGTTGCCGTGGTTGTGTGTAGGTGATTTCAATGAGATTTTATTTCAACATGAGAAAGAGGGGGATGTCCAAGATCGCAGGCACAAATGGACAGATTTAAGGAAGCTTTTGATGACTATGAGCTCCAAGATCTGGGGTTCAAGGGTGATGTTTTCACTTGGTGAAACCACCACCAAAGGGTGTAGTGCTATATACGTGAGAGGCTAGATCGGGCGTTGGCAAACTTGGCCTGGAGGAGTAGGTTTCCTACTGTTCATGTCTTGAATGGTGATCCCCGCCATTCGGATCATAGGCCGGTTGTGGTGATGACTGAAAAGAAGGAGGAGGGAAGGTTGCAGGCGAATCAACCTTTCTTTTTTGAGGGCGGCTGGCTGGAGGAGCAGAGGTGTGAGGAGGTGGTCGTGGATGGTTGGGAAGAGGGTTTAGCTGAAGGTCTGGACAAGGCGACGCTGCTGATTGAAAGGGTAGCTTCTGGCCTATGCTCTTGGAGCACAAATGTGTTGGGTGACTGGGAGAAACGTCGGAAACAAATTAAAAGGGAGCTTGACAATGTCGCCAGGCTTCGTTGAGTATGGAAGGGGTATCAAGGGAAGTTGTGCTTTATTTTAGGCTTGATAAATTAGAAGAGCAGATTGACATCTATTAGCGCCAAAGAGCTCACACAAAATGGCTGAAAGAGGGTGCTAGAAATACGAAATTTTTTCATGCCTCATGCTTTGAACGGAGGAGACAGAATTATATTGGGAGGATTAGTAATGGGCAAGGAGGATGGATAGAAGATGAGGGAGAAAATGGGAGTTTATAACTAATTTTTTGGCAACTTTTTAGGTCTTCTATCGAGGGAGATGCACAACAACTTCTACAAGTTGTTCATCCCCATGTGACAACAGCTATGAATGAGGATCTCATGGCGGAGTTCAACAATGAAGAGGTCAAGGCTGCATTGGATGCCATTGGTGACCTCAAAGCGCTGGCCCCGATGGTATGTCGGCGATCTTCTTCAAACGCTTTTGGGGTGTAATGGGCCCAAAGATAGCTGAGGAGGTTTTGACGGTGTTTAATGGAGGATCGATGCTGGAACACTGGAATGAGACAACAATCGCTTTGATCCCAAAGGTGCAGCGTCCAGATAAGGTGACAGACTTGAGACCTATTAGTCTGTGCAATGTGCTTTACAAAATTATGTCCAAAGTGCTGGCCAATAGACTAAAGAAGGTGCTGCCATATATTATTTCTATGAACCAAAGTGCCTTTATTCCTGGACGGTTTATTTCTGATAATATTTTGATTGCATATGAATTGACCCACTTTTTGAAGAATAAGAAGCGTGGTACAGAGAGCTTTGCAGCGATAAAACTAGATATGAGCAAGGCTTATGATCGTGTGGAATGGTCATTCCTGGAAGCTATGATGTTGAAGCTGGGTTTTTCTGAAGCCTGGGTGGCACTGATTATGAAATGTGTCTCCTCAGTCTCTTACAAAGTCAAAGTGAATGGCAATTTATCGAAATCTTTTTCTCTGGAGCGGGGACTGTGTCAAGGGGATCCTTTGTCCCCCTATTTGCTCCTACTTTGTGCTAAGGGATTCAGTGCTTTGTTATAGGAAGCTGAGAAAAATGGTT